TATATATATATATATATATATATATATATCGTCACAAACAGAACTGCCCGGTAAACCGTAGGCAGAGAGAGAGAAGAGGACAACAAACGAGGGGCTGTGTATATATATATATGTTCAATAAAGAAAACATATAATACGAGTTTGTGTGTACACCCATGCACAAAACTGGCTCCAACCACGCAAAAAAAAAAAAAAAAAAGTCAATTCCACCTTCATGACCACCCTGTCAAATGTTGTGACACACGGAACGCTCAAGAACAGAAAATGAAATGAAATGGACAACATATACCCAGAAGGAGATGAGATGAGAGACAACATTCGAAATTCAAATCAATTTAAAAGGACCGCATTCATAAAAGTGGCACATGTGTTGCATTCATTAAAACAACCTCCATCACAACAATTGACATTGGCGAGAACTTGCATGTCACTGTCCCGATTGCGATGCACACTCTGCATGGACGCTGTCCATGGACTCCATACGAGAATGAAGCGTCGATGATGATGTCGGCGATGGTTGGGACGTTGATGATGATTGTGTCGACGAAGATGATGAAGACGAGTTCGATGACGGCAGCGATGATGATGGTGATGACGAAGTATCGTCATCATCATCATCATCGCCGCCGTCATATAACTCGTCATCATCATCATCGTTGACACCATCATCTCCCATGTCCCAACCTTTAGCGACATCACCACCGACAGTTCGTTTCGCCACGGTCTCGCCCGATGGATCCCACTACTTACATGACACGTTTCCCCCAAAAAAACATGCAATCCACACAGAATCACCGCCAACAACACCGCTGCAGACATGTCATCATCATCATGTTAATGGCCGCCGTCATATAACTCGTCATCATCATCATTGCCGCCATCATATAACTCGTCATCATCATCATTGCCGCCGTCATATAACTCGTCATCATCATCATCGTCGCCAACAGCACCGCTGCAGACATGTCACAACACCGCTGCAGATGAAATCATCCTATCTGCCCCTTTGTTGGTGCACTACATCGAAACAGGCACTCCACAATCATTATGCCTCGAATCTTCTCTCCCAAACACTACGGCGAAACAACAACTGTTAAACCTATCCCGGAACTGCAACACATGGAATGCCCCCAATGACAACGAAAATAAACCCAGCGACCGAATGTCGCCACCACACTTGTAGCGGACCCACTAGGTGTGGTGCTCCGTTAGTGGTAGAGATGGAGATGGAGGAAGAAGGGGGGAGCGAGATGGCACAACGCAGCTCCCCACGCAAGACTCCAACGCACGTACTCCAAAATATCCAAGTGAAGAATGAGGACGAAACAGACAAGTGCTGGGGTATACCCCAGCGGACTGACTGGAATGGACTGGACTGGCTGGTACCGACAGAGGTACCGGCCTGGACTGGACTGGACTGCCCCCGAATAGAACACAGGCCTGTGAGAACAAGCCAAGGGGCTGGTCTCACAGGCCAACCAACCAGATGTTCGCTACACGATCCTCGGCCTGTGATGGATCGCCTAGATACAAACACACTTCCGCCAAGAAGCGGAACTCTACCAAAGAAAAAGAAAACCTGAGTCGTCTAGGATGCGGAGCAAGCTCCATGCTGAGTCCATGCGATGCAACCTAGGATAGAAAATATCACAAAACAGTAATGTCACAGCTAACAGCCTAAGTGAAAGCAAAAACAACTAACTAGCATACATGTCCTAGGAAAGCAAAAGCAATTAACTAGCATACATGTCCTAGGAAAGCAGAAAGTAGTGACAACTAGATCCTAGAATGTTGGAGGCAGTTGCCTCAGTCTGGGAACAGCTGACTAGTGTATAAGTCCTAAGAACAGCAAGAGCAGAACAACTAAATCCTAGAAATGTCAGAGGCAGTAGCCTCAGTCCGAGAGCAACAAAGTAGTCAACAAAACAACCATATATCACAGGAGGAGTGTGTCGCAAACCAAAGGGTGGGATGGTTTCTGAGGGTGGCCAATGCAGCCTAGGGGTCGAAAACTCCTAAGGGCATCCACACATAGATAACAGGGAGACACATGTCATCAGGCTCAATGAGGGTAGAAAACTGGGCGCGAACAGAACCAATGACCCTAACAGGTAGACCATCAGGGCGGGTAATGCTCGACTAAGGGGTGACCGCTATGGAGGGTCAACCATGCAAGGGAACAAGGGAACCTGGTATACTGGGCGCACCTAGATGAAGCATGCGGGGCTGCCTGACTAGGGCGTGAGGGCCGGCAAAGGGTAGAAAGATGATGGGTAAGGGAATTATGCAAATGACTCCTAAAGTGAGGGAAGTCGGAGCTAGATCCGTAAGATGGGAAACCAGGGCAACGCTACGGTCCCGATGTCTATGCGTATACCAAGGGAGAGCCCAACTCAGAGGAACCCGGCTAAAGGGAGACCATCATGCGACACAAGCAGGGTACTGTACAGGGTAAAGTGGTAAGAGAGTGGTGACGTCTAAAGTAGGCAGAGCTGATCGTAACGAAGTCCATGAAGCTGCCGATGACGTCCACGATGAGAAGTCCGGAATGTCGTCGAGGAAGAGCCGCAACGTCGACGAGTTGAAGTAGCAAAACTGGAGTGGATGGAGTACTGAGAAGTCAAGGACGTGGGAAGGTAAGTCGGAGTCAATCGTCGTATCGAGCAGGACGACGACGAGTACGTTGTGGATGCTCAAAAGCATCCGGCTGCTGCTGAAGGTCTGCCTCAGATGGAGCAGGCTCGACTTCAGCGGTCTCCTCAGCCGGGGGAGAAGGAGGAGGGTCAGTGGGCTGAGGAGGAGCAGTGAACCCAGCATGACGAGGATGGTCATAGGCACGCACCAACATGCGAGCATGCTGCAAGTGCTCGAGGGGCTCCCAGGTAGCCTCCTCATCATGGTAACCCTTCCAACGTACGAGATACTCAACGTGGGGAGGGTTGTCGTCGGTGACTCGGCGACCAATGATGTCTGAAACGAGGAACTCCTCGTGGCCGTCCACCATGATGGGTGGAGGACGCTCGTATGGTCGTCCAACGAAACACTCAGAAGGTCTGCGGTAAGGACGCAGTAACGAGACGTGGTAGACATCGTGCATACGAGTCTGGCGTAGGTAGTCGGGTAGCCTCACACGAAAGCTGACCGGGCTAGATGCCGTATCATAACCGACGGCCTGGAGGATGCGGCATGGGTCAAAGAAGCGACGCCGAAACTTGCTAAGTGTGCCCGCTTCGAGCTGTAAGTGGCGGGCGTCGATAGGCACATCATCACCGACTTTGAATGGATGATCCATCCTCGATCGGTTCGCACGTGCTGCCATGCGAGTCTGGGAAGCGGCTATGTGCTCATGTGCGGTCTTCATGATCGACGTCATGTGTGCAACCCAATCATCCAGCGCGGGACAACTCGTGTCGGGGTGCAGCTGGGACGGTCGAAGGAAGTCTGTGGGAACCGAGGTCGCAATAGTAGGGCGACGTCCCCGTGGCTGGCGAGACGGCGTGGTTGTAGGCTATCTCCGCGTGGGCAAGATGGAGATCCCACTGCTGGTCGTCACGAACAATCTTTCGGAGAATGTCTCCGAGAGTCCTGTTCGTGATCTCGGTCTGACCATCAGTTTCAGGATGGTAAGACGAGGAGAAGCGGAGCTGAGTGCCGTACACCTCGTGGAGCCGTTGCCAGAAGCGGCTGGTAAAGCGTGGGTCACGGTCAGATATGATGCTCAGAGATAAGCCGTGGTCACGCACGACTCGGTCAAACACGATGTGGGCGACCTCACGTGCACTGATGGCATAGCGGCACAGAACAAAGCATGCACGCTTCGTGAAGCGGTCGACGACGACCAGGATAGCATCATGACCGCGAGGGGTTGGAGGACGAAGGGGACCGATAAAGTCCATCGAGATAGACTGCCAATGACTCTCGGGGATAGGAAGAGGCTAGAGTAAACCATAAGGCAAGTGGTTCGCACTGTTCACCTCCTGACAGGTGGGACACTCTGCGACGTAGTCCTTCACAAAGTCCTTGCGCTTCGGCCAGACGTACAGGCGGCTCACACGAGCCAACGTCTTGTGGAAACCCATATGACCGGCGGCTGCTTGGTCATGAAACTCTGCTACTGCTCGGACACGTAGATGTCCAGTGGAGGGGACACAAATACAAGGCTCTCTGGTGCCCTGTGAACCGTGCCAGTACACAAAGACCGTTGTCCCCAAGAGAGTAGTTCGGGATGGTCTTGCCACTCCGAAGGGTCGCGTGGATGTCGCGATAGTCGGGGCAGTGGCGGTACTGAGTGCGAAACTCGTCGATCACCGAGTGGTGGACGGTGGTGACCGAGATGGAARWGAGCKGGATSTGCTCCTGGTCGTGGTCAGGGCGCCGGGATAGGGCATCTGCGACCCGATTAGTCTCACCCTTAATGTGCTCAGTGGTGAAACTAAACTCGGATAGGTCGCGCCACAAGCGAGCTTGTCGAAGAGTGAGCTTCGGTTTTGCCAGAAAAGCCTGGACAACAGAGTTGTCAGTACGCACCGTGAACGGTGCCCCGTGCAGGTAGTGACGCCAGTGCCGAGCGGCATAAACTACTACGAGGACCTCACGTTCATCAACAGTGTAGTTTATCTCGGCGGGCAGGAGCTGACGGGAGTAGAAGGCTATCGGACAATCACCTGAGCGAGACTCGACAGTGCCGTCCTCGGCGATGGTAGGAGAATAATCAATAGAAGGCTCGTTAGTAGCTGGACGAGTACGCGTCAGTCGGGAAGCAGTGGTAGGGGTAGGTGGTGGGAAGCGAGGGATACGAGGATGAGAGGAATCAGGAGAGGAGGGGAAGACCTGAGAAAGCACTGCTCCTACAACAAAGTCTGACGCATCGGTGGTAAGGATAAAAGGGCGATCAAAATCGGGTAGGTGAAGAACCGGTGCGCATGTCACCGCTTTTTTGAGGGCGCGGAAGGCGTCCTCGTGGAGGGGTGTCCAAGCCCAGGGTGGGTTATTCCGGAGGAGGGTGGAGATAAGGACGGAGGAATACCTAGTGTATCCCCGGATGAAATTACTATAGTAGCTGGTCAGGCCTAGGAAGCTGCGAAGCTGCTTGGCGGATGTGGGAGCGGGCCACTGCGCAATAGCAGTGATCTTCGCGTCGTCCATGTGGAGACACTGGTCAGACACGTAGTGTCCTAAGAAATCCACTTTGTGCTGGGCAAAGTGGCACTTGCTCAGCTTGGCGTAGAAACCATGTCTGCGTAAGCGGTCAAGGATGTCGCGAAGGTGTCTTAGATGCTCCTCAAGGGTACGACTGTAGACCAGGATATCATCGAGGTAGACGAGAACGAACTGCTCCAGGATGTCCCTGAAGATGTCGTTCATCGCCCTCTGGAAGATGGCGGGTGCATTGGTGAGGCCGAATGACATCATCGTAAACTCGTGGTGGCCGAAGCGCGATCGGAACGCTGTCTTCGGCTGGTCGGCTGCAGCGATGCGGATCTGATGGTAACCGCTACGAAGATCAATCTTCGTAAGGAAGCAGTTGCCTGCTAGGCGGTCGAACAGCTCGTCGGAACGAGGCATGGGGTAGTTGTTCTTAACCGTGTAGCGGTTGAGGTCTTAATAGTCGATGCAGAGACGGAGAGTTCCATCCGCTTTGCGAACAAAGAGGACGGGTGCACCCCACGGGGAGTTGCTGGGTTTAATGAAACCTAGTCTCAGGAGTTCCTCAAGCTGAGGCTTGAGTTCGGTGGCCTCGGGGATCGAGAGTCTGTAGGGTGCCTGGTGGTGAATACGATAGTCAGGCACAAGCTGGATGGAGTGCTCGACATCGCGCATCGGTGGGATGCCAGCGTACGAGAACGACGATGGGAAAACGTCGTGGTACTCTCGAATGAGGTCAGGAAATGCGGGCTCCAAGTCGGCCGTATATCGTGCGAGTTCCTCAGCGTCAGCGTCGGCGTGCGACGTCGACGCGACGGCGGCGGGACGGCGGGGTGGACTTGACGGACGACGGAGAGATGGAAGTAGAGATAGGAGCCATAGAGATGGAAGGAGGGTCTGGCTCCAGAGGGATGAGCTCGGCGTTGGGACAGGGTGGGTCATAGTGTAAGAGATCCGTCACGTTCACCATAAAGAAGGTGACGTCGTCCTGTCGGATGAAGTGAGCGAACTGCCGAGGCGAGGTGACAGTGATAAAAGGAGATGGTGTGGGCAAGGAAGGCTCCGGGGGAGGAGGATCGGGGCGTGGTGTCGCAGTGGTACCTATGAAAGGTACGCGATACGTCTGTCCACACTTCGTTTTGAGAACGAGAGTGTTGGTCGCCCAATCGGCCTCAGTGCTGTGGAACCGGCGAGACCACGGAGTGCCGAGAATGAAGTCATACCCCATCTCCATCACATTGAAATGCGCAGAGGAGCGGTGGCGACGAGACGCCGGGGAACGATCAGTCGGCTTGAGAGTGAGGAAGAAAGGGAGGTCGGTGACCGTCTGATCGAAGAAGCGCTGGGTCTTGTCATCCCCTAAGGTAATGGAGATGGGAGTCGGAAACCCTGCCGTGGGTAAGCGGGCTTCTTTCACCACACGTGGGTGAATGAAGTCGCCATGAGAACCGGAATCCCACAGCGCTGAGTACACCCTCGTGGAGGTCCCGAGTCGTATTGGGATGATCGGGAGGGTGCGATCAGGGTCAGAGAGGATGGCGAGGAGGCGACGCAGTGCAGCGACATGGAGGGTGAGTCGCTCCTGACGAGCCTGGAGCATGCTCAAGTCCAGAAGAGAGGACACAACATCGCGAGTAGCAAGCTGCTCGCTGCAACGGGCTGAGCGAATGGCTCGACGAGTCGGTAGTCGCGGCGGGGAAGGAGGGGAGACGGTGGTCTGCGGAGGCGCAAACGGTACTTCGACAGAGGGCTGAGTACACTCTGTCGAGTCCTGCGATACCTCAACTCTAGTAGCGAGGGGGGCGGACCGCGACGGAGATGTCGGAAAGCCCACTACTGAGGAGGGCGCGGGTGTACACTGCACCGTGGCTAGGAGGCGCCGCGGGGATGAGAGGCGTCGGGGGGGGACGACGCACGACACTGGCGGGAAATGTCAGCGTAGTGGCGGTCGAGGGCGGTAGTGTAAGGGCACCGCGAGGAGGTATGACTGTCCAAGCGGCATCGCAAACACCCACGCCGGCCCAGAATAGCCGCTTGCTCCTCAAAGGAAAGGACACTGCGAGGAGGGACGAAGCCCTGAGGGAGGTCCTCCTGAGGGACCTAGGGGGGCGACGCACCAGCGTGACCGGGGCGGCTGCGTGCCCGGGAAAGGGTGGAAAGGATGAGCTGGAGGCGCTCAACCATAGGGAGAGTAGGGTCCTCCAGGTGGTGGTGGACGGCCTCGCCGAGGTCGAGGTCGGGGCTATGGTCACCCTCTGGTGACAGCGGGGCACCAGCGTCCTACTCACCATACTCGAGCGCGCTGAAGCGGCGCGAGAAGTGGCGGCCCTGCTGCGTGGAACTGCGGTGGCGAACACGGAAAGGGGAACGACGCTGGGAAGTGCCGTGAGAGGAGGAGGAGGCGTAGCCCGTGCGCTGAGGCTGGGAGGAGGAGGCGGGGTGAAGACGGGCTCGCATCCACTGGTGGTCCCTGGCGGCCTCGTAAGCGTGCGGGGCCGAAGTGAACTCGTACCACCATAGCTCGGAGCGGTACTCCAGCGGAAGGCTGGCCAATAAACAATCAATAAGGGCAGCCTCGGGGAGGAACGCCACGTCACAAGTGAGGCGGGCGTCCTGAAAGACCTGGATGTGGCGATCCAGAGCGGCAGCGCCACCAGAGCCGGACCAGCGTGTAGTGACGACACGCTCGAAGGCGTCAGTCACGTCGTATCAGGCTCCGAAGCGATGCTCGAGGAACGTCTGGAAATCTATGAAGGTCGGGGTCCGACCCTCACGAAGGGAGTACGAGTAGAAATCCTCCCAGACCTCGAAAGGACCACCACGTAGGCGCGTGGAGAGGTGACCCACCCACGTGTCGGGTGTGGCGCCCATGAGCTGGAGCGTGCGGGTGGCAGACTGCAGCCACCTAGACACGCGTATGCCTGTATCGTCATACAAGGCAATGTCTGACAAGCGGATGAGTGGTGCGCCACCGTTTTGGCTGCGAGGGGAACGGGAAGCAGGGGACTGCGCTACGGCGGAATAAGTCGGTGCAGGTCCTGGAGGAGGAGGCGCAGCTGACTGTACGCCCGGGCCGTATGGTGGAGCGGCGGGGGAAATAGCGGCAGGCTGCGCGGGAGCTGCGGTAGAAGAGGTCGCAACAACCGAGGGGATGGGGAGGAGGTAGGATGGGGATGGGTAGGGTGCAGGGCGAGGGAAGCGAGCCTTCATGGAAGGAAGAATAGAGGAAGAAGGGGGTGCGCCGAAAGGCGCGGCCACCTGTGAGGGTGGGGGTGGCTGAAGGCGTGAGAGGGCGAGGTCGGTCCGGAGCTGGGCGATCTCGTCCTCAAGACCTCAAACGTAGGTCGAGCGAGGTGTGGCAGGGCGAGACGCACGAGCGGCGCGAGGCATCCCACAAGGGGTAGAGCCAAGTGGCGCTGCGGTCGTGCGAAGAGGAGGGAGAAGTGGGGCACCCGGAAAAGCTGCGACCATGGTAGCGGGTTGTGGTACCGTGGCCGTAGTGACCGAGGTCTGGGTGGGTGCGCCCGTAGACTAAGGGAGGACCTGACTCGTGGCGGCCGTCGTGCTAGGGGCGTGAACGGTCACCAAGATGGCCGGGTCGGGGGCAGCGGAGGAGGAAGCTCCACCGTGGCCACCCTGTTGGAGGACGGGGTACCCGGACTGGGAGCCAGGAGAAGAGATAAGGTGAGGAGAGGAAGGACGACCAGCGTCCTGGAGTTGCTGCACGCCGGCGGCAAGGGTCACCACCTGCGCCTGTAAGGGCGTGAGGGTCGCGAGTTGCGCCTAGATGGGCGCAAGGGTCGTGAGTTGCGCCTGGATGGGCGTAAGGAGGGAGGTGAGGAGGGTGTGCAGATCCCCCTGGGGCTGATGGCCCTGGTCCGTCGGCAAGGGTGTGGAGCCCGATGCCGTGGTCATCGTCGTGTCGGCGGCGTGTGACACACTGTTGGCCATGGGGAGATGACGGACCGGACAGGAGGGGGCCAGAAGAGGTCCGCGTGAGCGGAGGGCGTAGGGGGAAGTCCGCTGTAGAAAGCGGCGAACGGCGCTAGCAAGGCTAGCACGGGCGCCGTCAAAGGGGGAGGGGTGGTTCGGGTCCAGGTTGTCCGAAGAGGACGGGGAAGTAGGGGGGTTTTGAAGAACCCTAAACCTTACAAAAACCCTAAGAAAACCCTAACCGAAGTTTAAGTGGTTAGGGTAGGGTACCGGTGACCTAATCAAGAAAGTAAAATAGCAAGCATAGGGGGGGGAAGGCGGGAGAGAAATAAATAAACAGCGAGATTTCTAGAGAAAATAAAAATAAATAGGAAAATAAATAAATAATAAAAATAATTAAAGAAATAAGTAAAAAAATATGAAGGAAAAACAATATTTATTTTTTTCTGAAATTTTTGGCAGCATTTCCCTACCCCCCACGGGGTCAAAAATGTGCCAAGGGGAAAGGAGAGACCAAGGTGGGCACACTAGGTGTTAAGATGCTGCAAAATAATAAAAAAAAAAATTCAGAGAATTAATAAAAAATAATAAATAAATAAATAAGTTAATAAATAAAGAAGTAAATAAGTGGATGAGGAGGTGGGGAGGAATGAAGTATCTAATTTGTCAAAAAAATTGGCAGTATTTCGTTACCCCCATGGGGTCGAAGTGTGCCGAAAAAGACCAAGTAAGGGAAATCAGAAAATTTCGGCAGCACTTCGTTACCCCCACGGGGTCAAAATGTGTGCTGAAAGCAAGAAAGACTAACACCTAATTAGATTTAGGGTTGCTGTAGAGAAAATCGAATTTTCAAAATAAATAGAAAAATAAATAAAATAAATCAGAAAATGAGAAAAGAAGGTGGGAAAGAAGATATTTCGAATTTTTGGAAAAAGAAAAAATATAAATAAAAAAGGGAGATAGAAAAAAGAAAAAACAGAAAAATCGAAGTAGGGGGGGAAGGGGGGATAAGAAAGTGATGGAGAGAAGAAAGAAATAGGTGGGAGAGGGAAAAAGATGGAAGTGGAAGGCGGGGGAATGATGTGGTGGCAGTTGGGGGAGAGGAGGGTGAGAAAATGGGAGAGAAAGAGGATGGGGAAAGATGGAGAGTGATCAAGAAACTAAGAGGAAAGGAGGAGAGAAAAGAAAAGAAATGAAGAAAAAGAGGGTAAGATAGTGGTTAGTGGGAAAAAAGGTGGGGTGGGGAAGGTGAAAAAGAGGAGGGGAGAGAGGAAGTGGAAGGTGGGGGTAAGAAAAGGGAAGAGAGAGATGATACCTGGCCCTTGGTGTCTCCAAGGGCACAAGGTATACCAAGACCAGGAGGGTCTTGGCCCTCGCTGCAGCAGCCAGTTGGAGGAGGGAGGGGGCTGAGATCTTGATCAGCCCCTACTGCAAATCTGCAGATCTAGGGTATGTTGTGTGAGCATACCCTCACCGGTGTAGAGCAGCCCCTGAAACACAGGGGGTAAGTCCATACCAAAGTGCCACGTGGCACTGCAGGTGGGCACATGCGCAGGCAGCGGCAACCACGCGGGGGGGGTAAATAGCAGCCTCTCTTGTCGCTGCCTTGCTGGCCGCTGCTCGCTGCTCGCCGCCCGGGGGGGGGGGGGGGTAAATAGCCAGCACGACACCTCTTCAACACGAGCGTGCCGTGCTACAAGGCCATAGACTCTTTGTGGCGAATGTGTTATGGCAGTGGTATACGCACGCACATGGCTGGCAACTGCCTGGGTTCAAACCCCATGCGACAGCATGCATCCCGGATCCTGATTGATATAATCTGGGAGCGGGGCGGGGCAGCGGGGCAGCGCGTGGTGCACGTGCGTGCGGCGGCCTTGGGCTTGCCGCGCACGCGCTCGTGGTGGCCCCTGTTTTTTTTGCCACGTGTCACCTCCTGCAGGCGCCTCGTTTTCCCTGCGTTTTCACTGAAAAAACGCCTGAAAACAGCGAAAAAAACCGCTGTCAGGTTTTGCTGTTTTCCCCAGCTGTACAGTTGTACGGGGTGGTGGGTGGGAGCGGGGAACGTTCCCGCTCCGATACCAATGTAGCGGACCCACCAAGTGTGGTGCTCCGCTAGTGGTAGAGATGGAGATGGAGGAAGAAGGGGGGAGCGGGATGGCACAACGCAGCTCCCCACGCAAGACTCCAACGCACGTACTCCAAAATGTCCAAGTGAAGAATGAGGACGAAACAGACAACTGCTGGGGTATACCCCAGCGGACTGACTGGACTGGACTAGACTGGCTGGTACCGACAGAGGTACCGGCCTGGACTGGACTGGACTGCCCCCGAATAGAACACAGGCCTGTGAGAACAGGCCAAGGGGCTGGTCTCACAGGCCAACCAACCAGAGGTCCGCTACAACACTCACATCGACACACATCACCGGTGGTTTACGCCCGTGGCGATCACCACTTACAGACATGAAGGTCATCCTCAGGCACCCATGTATCCACCAGGCCGTGCAAGTACCCCCTGCCCTCCAGAGGGGGGTCGAAGATGGTGTCGTACCGAGGCGTGTCGTCGATGCGGTTCTCAAACTCTTCGGCGATGGCGGACACAAGGTACTTGATGGTGTCCCCCACCGCATCCCGGTGGGGACCTTCCCATCTGTTTGGCACCACCTCATGCCTCTTCGTCACGAACAGGAGGACGTGGCTCAAAGCGCTATCGTTGTCAAACCCCAATCCAGCCGTGATGTCCATTGCATGGACATCGTTCACGCGCACTTCATACACACGGGTGTCGTGACGTGTGACAACATTGTAGAAAACCTCCCGTGACGCCCGCTGCGTTTGTCTAGGAGCTCCGCGATGATCACGTCGCGGCCGCAGACCCACTTCCACACTACAACAACGGGAACCATTCTCTCTCTCTCTCTCTCTCTCTCTCTCTCTCTCTCTCTCTCTCTCGGCACACACTGAACTGCGCAGACACCGAACGGTTTCGCTGAGATCATGAAGACGACCGCAGAACTGTGCACACACCGAACGGTTTCGCCGAGATCATGCGATCGTGTTCCAGCACAAGTGCTCCCCGGTTGCCCGTGCGATGTTATATACATCACCCCGCCCTGGCTTCATGATCTCCCCAGCAGTGTTTGTGAGTGTGTGTGGCTGTGGACAACCCCTCCCGAAAACCAGGTGCACACATCGATTCCACCCGATGACCGGTGCACATTCATATATATATATATATATTTATATATATATATATATACATATATATATATATTTATACATATATATATATATATATATATATACATATATATATATATATCATCGGGATGACGGGTCTGTGT